AAATTAGTGCAACCTTTGTGGAAAAGAATTTGGAGATACCTCAAACAGCTAGAAATAGAAATACCATTCGACCCTGCAATAGCATTGTTGGGCATCTACCCAAAAGAGCATAAGATATTTTATTATAAAGACATCTGCACCGGAATTTTTATGGCAGTACAATTCACTATTGCACGGTCATGGAAACAACCCAAGTGCCCGTCAATTCATGAGTGGATAATTAAAATGTGGTATATGCTCACAATGGAATATTACTCAATCCTAAGAAACGACAGTGAGCTAGCACCATTTATGCTATCCTGGATTAAGCTCAAGCCTGTTATCCAAAGTGAGGTGACACAAGACATGGAAAATGGGCCCCACATTTACTCATCATCAAATTGGTACTGACTGATTAAAACTATGGTTCTCAAATAGTGGCAGTGCTCACCAGGGATTATGGGGGGAGAGACCCAATCTTAGGGATGTGGCGAGCATTTTGGAGGGGAAGGGCATAACTCTAACGGTTCTTAGGGAGAGGCAAAGATATACAATGTAACCAAAATGTCAAAAAAAAGAAAAACAAAACTTGTTATCGGGTGGTGGGCAGGCAGGAGGGGGTAGGAGGAGAAAGGTGTATACTTACATAATGTGTGCGGTAGGCACCACTGGGGGATTGGACACACTTGAATCTCTGGCACGTCGGGGGGAGGAAGGGGAGGCAGGCAATATTTGTAACTTTAACAATATCTGTATCCCCATAATATGATGAAAGGAAAGGAAGAAAAAAAAATAATCCCATACACTGATTTAATGTTATTGGATCAATTTGTGCCTATAGAACATCCTTAGACTACATGATGAAAGTTTACTGGTGGGGAAAAAAGATATCCTTTTATGAAGTTCAGACTATATTTTAAATTTAATGCAAATCTCTAATAGAGCTCAAGAAAAAGACTATGCTCTATTTTCAATTACATATTTGAATTATTTTTGGTTTGTGTGTGTATATTTTGTTTCCCTGACAAAACTGAAAACTTTCTGATCATGAAGATGCTCTTTTTTGTTTGTTTGTTTTTTCCTGAAATAGCTAGCAAAGGGAAGATCAATGGTAGGAATTCAATAAATATTCATTCAGTTGCTACAAAATTACTTCTTACCAAATGTATTACCATATGTGTGTGTGTCTATACACTTGAATCACATTCTATCAATTTCTTGGCCATAACAACCTATGCATAAGTGGAGTTTCCTTAATGGCCCATAAGCCAAGAAATGAGTCAAGTTTTAAAAATTATTTTTTTAGAATGCAGCTAAACTCGTAGCTATAATTTACTCTAAATAATCCAATAGAGAATACCATTCTGTTTTAAAATATTTGTTTTAATTGCTAATCTAGTTATTAAGTATATTTTTTGAAACTTGTATTCATAAAGCAGAGAAGGCTTCAAAACTCATTTAGAATGCTATAGTGTGACATATTTCCATTTTTTCCCCATAGCCTTTGACCACTGAACTTAGGGATAGTGAAAGGGGAGGTGAAAAAGAAGGAATAGTGGGTTGGGGGTGAGAGAGTTATGAATATGAATGGAGCTTGTAAACATGATCTTCATAATAAATACATCCTGTCATGAGCATATAGGCTTAGTTGACTAATTTGTTTCAAGCCCTATTGCTTTGTCCATTACAATAACCTCTGAAATTTTTAGTTTAGATTTCTTCCACTAAGAGAACTTGAAGCAACTTGATATTTACATTTGAGTGATAACTTAAGACGCCTCCAAAATCGTTGTGTTTTTTCATAACTACTTTATACTTCTTAATTGGTAATAACATTTTATATTTGAAAATTTTCTTCCCTTCAATTTCCCATAGACCTGAATTTTCTACTTTTCTCACTTTATTTCTCCTTCAGGTTCATTCTTTAGGTTCATGTTCAAGTTCTGAGAGGCTCCCTTACTTTATTAATAAATCTTTTCATTTTCTTTGAGAGTGTGTACAAAGATTTGTACTTCTAGAGGTATACATTAGAGACATATGGTTATAAATATGCAGTATTGGCCCGGTGCGTTGCTTCACACCTGTAATCCTAGCACTCTGGGAGGCCGAGGCAGATCATTCGAGTTCAGGAGTTTGAGACCAGCCTCTGAGCAAGAGCAAGACCCTGTCTCTACCAAAAAAATAAGAAAGAATAAGATAATGTGTACAATGTGTTAAAATGGAATAATGTTATTACAATTTTTTGGACTGGGATAAAAGTGATTATCTCCACTTAGGAAATCACTTTTAGGTGGAAACTTAGGAATTCGGTTTTTAAAGATGATTGGTAATTTACCACATCAATGAGGGAGAAAAGAGCAGTACTAGGGGAAGTAATAATATAAAATGGCATGGTAAATTTCTGGGACTCTGGTTATTTGGTGTCCAATGTAGATTGTATAGACATATCATGAGAGAAGAGATTCAAGATTTAGGTAAGAATCAGATCAAAGAGAGCATTGGACTTGATTCTTTCAGTAGTAGAGAACTATTTAAAAACCTTAAGTTTAAAACATCCTGATTGGATTACAAAGATATCCACACTAACACAAGGAATAGTGTAGTTACATAGTGTAATTGATAACCATTGTATTAGTTTAGATCAGGCGTCCTCAAACTATAGCCTGCGGGCCACATGCAGGCCACCTATCACATTTATCAGGCCCTCTGGGTGTTTTTGCCACTCTTGCCTGTCCTGCTTTGCAGCCAACTTGGCCCAGGCCCACAGCACACTCTCCAATGGTCTGAGGGACAGTCAACTGGCCCCCTGTTTAAAAAGTTTGAAGACCCCTGGTCTAGATGATATGTAGTCAGGTTTGAACTCTATTAGTAACAGAAGGAATAGAGGATCTGAAAGATAACAAAGAAGAAACCATTTTAGAGGTACGCTATATGTGGGAGGTGAGGGAGAAGAGATTGGGTTGCCCTAGAGGTATGAACCACTGGCATGAACCACTGAGTTGATGATACAATGAATAGTTAAGACAGGGAATAAAGAAAAAGCAGCAAGTTTTAGGTGAAATATGAGTTTAGGTTTAGACGATGATTTTGAGAAACCTATTATATACCTAGAGCTGAGAGGGGCAAGGGAAGTGCATTTCTGGTAGGCAATACCGTGAGTTAGGAGTATAAGCATAACGTCTGAATTGGAGATAGAAATGTATGATTTGTTGTCTTATGGGTTTTAGGAAAGTTGTGAGCAAAAGAATAAAAGATCTCTAACAAATGAACAATAATAAAAAGGCAAATAAATAGGAAAAATGTTCAAAAAGCTTGCAAGGCATTTCACAAAATATTATATGTAAATGACAAGCATAAGAAAATGGCTTGCCTTCATTAGACATCATAGAAATACAAAATGAAACCATAATGAGATACCATTCACTAGAATACCTAAAATGGGGGGCAGGGAAAGGGAAAAGATGGTAAGTGATAACAAGGTTGTAGAGCAACTGGAACATTATCTATGGGAACATACATTGAGATAACCATTTTGAAAAACTCTTTGGCAGTGTCTTCTAAAGTTGAACAAACAAATACATATATTATAATTCGTGGTATACTGGTAAACTCTGTGTGTATGTGAGAGAGGGAGAGAGATAGAAGTAGTGTTTACTGATATTCCCACCATGGTCAACATGAAGCTACCAATGGTTTAAAAAAGCAACTTGCAAAATTCTTTCATGTTAAATAATCAGTATAAGCTGGGCTTTAGTACACCAACCCATCAGTTTCATTCCCAGATATGTATCCACCAGAAATGTGTACATATTGACCAAAAGACATATGCTGAAGTGTTTACAGCAACTCTATTTGTGATGTCAAAAACAGCCCAAATGTCTATAAACATTAGAATATATCAATTGTGGGATATTTATATAATAGAATACAGCAATGAGAATAATGGACTGTTTAGATTCATACAATAATTGTAATGGTGTTAAAAATATAAAGTTGAAACCAGGCATAAAAGAATATATGTTATTCAATTTATGTGGAGTTCGAGAGCAAGCATACTAATCTTGGCTGTTAGAAGTCAAGGTAGTTGTTATCCTTATTTGAGGGGTCATGACCAAAAGGTGGCCCGAAGGACTTTCTGAGATTCAGGTTACATCCTGTTTCTTGATTTGGGTGCCATTTACTAGAATGTATCTTTTGAAAATGTATTGAGCTATAACTTATGTTTTGTATACTTTTCTGAATATATGTTTTGTATCAATAAAAATGTTTACTTGGAGGGGGAAAAAACCTATGGTCAGAGATGGGATTACCCGTGAAGTATATATAAAGTAAGAAGAAGGGGGAGGGGGGGAAATGGGCATTTATTGAAACCTTAAAATCTGTACCCCCATAATATGCCGAAAAAAAAAAAAGTAAGAAGAAAAGAGTGACAGAAACCTGGGGGACACAAAAACCACATGCAAATTCCTATTTCCTTCCACGTTTTACTTGGGGCCCCTTTCAGCTTTTTGTATGAAAACATTGCAGAAGGTAAGGATGATGCTAAGAATAAAATTTCTGTTAGAGAGTGGGATTGCTCTTACAGCATTTCTGCATAGAGACTGTTTCCAAGGGGACACTTGGACTGACTTTATTCTTAGATTTTGCAAGAGTTAAGGGTTGGAAAATGAAGAAATACTGTGATGAGAGAGACCACCTGGAGGCAGGAGATGGTGCTAAATACAGAACAGCACCATTTTTTCTAAATCATCTTAGTGTATTGAATCCCAGTAAATGTACTGTAATTATGTCAACATTTCTCCATGATATAGTGAAATGATGTGCTTTGTGAATTATTTAGATTGAGAAGAAGGGTGAAATGAAAGGAATTCCATACTGACCATCTCCTGAAAGAGTGCTTTTATAAGTGAGCAGATATTCCCAATTCAACAGAAAGGTCCATTAACCGCAGCCTGTTAACAAGTATTATTAGAAAAGTGAATGTTCATCTGGACAATTGCACACTTATCTCTCTTTTCCAGAAATGGCAAGAAGTCTTTTGAAGACATCATCTCTGTGTGTAAGGACAAAATTGCTAAATCAAGTGGGATTGTCACTATATAATACATCCCATGGCTTCCATGAGGAAGAAGTGAAAAAAAAACTTGAGCAGTTTCCTGGTGGATCCATTGACCTTCAGAAGAAAGACAATGGCATTGGCATTCTTACTCTGAACAATCCAAGTAAAAAGAATGCCTTCTCAGGTATTAGAGATATTTTCTTTTTTTCCTAGATAAAGAATCATACTGAATGTAACCTGCTATCACATGTAATCATTTCTCTTGTCATGGAATTCTTTGAATTCATGGTACTCTTTATAGAACACAAAAATAAACATGACAAAATCTCCATAACATGAACCAGAACATTTTTACTATTTATGAATGCTTTAATGTTTTCAGAAAATTCCTTAATACAAATGTTGATAAAAGGAACTTAATGTTGATTGTATTTTTCCATTGAAATTCATTAACCATTTAATAACTTCATTTTTTTTTTTTTTAGCTAGTGCCACTGGAAAGAAGGGGAAGGAGTTTTAAAAGATTTTTCTGAAACTAAAGAGAAAAGCCTATAAATGAAAAGAATTATTTAGCTTAATTTTTTTTTCCTATGAATTAAAGTGAGGCTGTTATTGTTAGTTTTTAACCTTGTAATTTCATGGTTACAGTGGAAACACTGAACTTGCCTATCTGTTGACTTTTTCTTAATTCTTTGAATAATGGTGAATGTGTTCTATTTGCTAGTTAACACTTATAACATATATGAATTTTATGTTTAATAGACCTGAAGATCCAGGACATATGATAATTTAAAATTTTTGTGGAAGCTCTAATTTGAATTCTGCTACCATGGTATTTAGCAAGAGCTAATGAGTAGCCTTGCTGAATGAACATTCACCACTCATTTGATAATCTCTATTTGTTAATTATACACTTCATGGGGGATAAGTATATTCTTTAGTAGCATTTGATATATTGGGCTCAAAAATATCTCAAAAAATTCTCATGTGTCTACTTTATATATGATCACCCCTAGAGATATAAGTCAATATACTATAAACTTTGTAAATTACCAATTGTGGGTCTTTAAACCCAAGATAACTTTTTTCTCTACTTATCAGAATTCAGAGATGTAATGTGCTGACCAATAGAAATATAATGCAAGACACAAATGTGAGCAACATATGTAATTTTAAATATTCTAGTAGTGATAGTTAAAACAGTAAAAAGAAATAGGTAAAATTAATTTACCTATTTTTTTTTTTTTTTTTTTTGAGACAGAGTCTCGCTTTGTTGTCCAGGCTAGAGTGAGTGCCGTGGCGTCAGCCTCGCTCACAGCAACCTCAAACTCCTGGGCTCAAGCGATCCTTCTGTCTCAGCCTCCCAAGTAGCTGGGATTACAGGCATGCGCCACCATGCCCGGCTAATTTTTTTTATATACATATCAGTTGGCCAATTAATTTCTTTCTATTTATAATAGAGACGGGGTCTCGCTCTTGCTCAGGCTGGTTTCGAACTCCTGACCTTGAGCAATCCGCCCGCCTCGGCCTCCCAGAGAGCTAGGATTACAGGCGTGAGCCACCGCGCCCGGCCTAATTTACCTATTTTTAATAGGTAATAATACCTAAAATTATTTTAGGTATTAATAATACCTAAAATTATTTTATTTAACTCAGTATATTTAAACTATTTCAACATATAACAGATATTAAAAAATGAATATTTTCCCTTTTATTTTCATACTAAATATTTGAAATCTGGTATTTATTTTATACTTTATGCTCATCTCAACTTGGACTAGCCACATTTCAGGTGCTCAATAGCTACATGTGGCTAGTGGCTACTTTATTAGACTGTGCAGCTCCACACCTTCAATTTGTTTAGGGAATAAAGGTTAATTTTAATATTATGCCAGAAAAAATAAAAATAGAAAAGTAAGGCTGCTCTAGAAGGTTAAATTAGATTAATAGTTTTAATTTGCTTCTCATTAGTTACAAATAATAATTTTTTATTCAAGTGGAAACATATTAATTTAATGTATAACATATAAAACTAATAAAAGTAGAGCTGCTTTGATTTGGGTAATGGTGTTTGTTTAAATTGGGTTGGGAGAGGATGAGTGAGCCCTCAAGGCTCTTGTTTAAAAATCATCTAACTGGATAGTCTTTAAGGTCTCTTCCAACTCTTAAGGTTTAATTTACAAAGTAAAAACATGGGTTTAAGATTAATCACTGGTATGAATGTTTTTATACTTAAGGATAGCATTATTATTTAGAAGCTTAAATATTATGAATAATGATTAAAGGTCCATAATTACCTATACAGATTTATTCTTACCCTAAATATGTGAGGTTTTTTTGGTTTCCCTTACTAGACTGTAAATCATTTGAGAGCAAGAACTATATTTCTAAAGCATTTAGAACATCCTTAGGAAGGGTTACAGTTTTAAATACAGTCATGCATTGCTTAATGATGGGGATATGTTCTGAGAAATGTGTCGTTAGGTGGTTTCTTCATTGTGTAAACAAGCATCATAGAATCACACAAAACTAGATGGTATAGCTTACTACATACCTAGGCTATATGGTATGACTTATTGCTTGTAGGCTATAAACCTTTACAGCATGTTACTGTGTGAATACCATAGGCAGTTGTAACACAAACGTGTGTAATGTGTTGTGTTGCACTACAACAGGACAATGGCTTTGACATCATTAGGCAATAGGCACTTTTCAGCTCCATTATAATGTTATAGGATCATTGCATATGCAGTTCATTGTTAGTTAGCATTTAGAAAGGATAGTTGCTTAGACATTTGTGAGTTAATAACACTGATTTAACATTTATTGTAGGATCACTTCACTACTGTTTACTTCAGAAAATGTCAAAGAACATAATGTTTTCTTGACATTGTGGGGTTTATATTCCAAAAAAGTATATTATACATTGTTTAATGAGGCCTGTATATTAAGACTTGGGACCTTGTGGTACAGATTCTTTGTCAGTTTTAACCCTCTGTTATGACCTTTATATTAGATTCTAAAGCATTTCCTAGGCAGAAAAAATAAAATTAATCATGTTGAGAACAGTGAAGTTGGAAGATTTTTGAAGTTGGAAGATCACCAAAGATAAGAATATCTAAAAATTACGGATTAGATCTTAAAATGACAGTCCTTGATGTTTCTATTTTAAATTTCTTCATTATAAAGAAGCTCCAATAGAATTTTGGAATCATACCAAAGTAACAATCTAATCTATAAATTATAGAATCAGTGGTTGGTGGCATGTGAAATACTTCCATAGTATGCCGTGGGCTCCTCAGAGCGTGGTTTTTCCACTGTGGAACAGGTGATAATTATGACCCCTTTCCTGAACTAACATCCTATTATACTAGCTGTGATGTGAATAGGACAGGAATTTCACTTTTTTCTATATACCATATGTACAATAGATCATAAGATCTCATAGTCCTATGTTATACCCATACAGCTTATTGCCTGAGACACTTAACATGTATTGCCAAGAAGTCTGTTTTATCTTTAAGAAATAATTTTTTCTTATTACCATATCCCATATTGTACAATATAATTTTCTTATTCTTGGGACATGTATGATATTAGTATATTCTTATTTTTCTACCTAATCATATATTTGTGTGATTTCTTAGATAGATAGATATATTAATAAATTTAAACTTTTAAAGCAAGTACTGTCATATATATATACCTCTTTTGTTTATAGTACCAGCACAAGAGGCACTGGATAGACATTCGGCAAATATTAGTAAAGCATGTAAGAAAGAGTACTGCTTGACACCTTATGATTTATAAATTATTTCTATTTTTACAGTATATTAACTGTGTTTATTACTTCCCCTCCCCTCTCTGGCAGGTGTTATGATGCTGCAACTTCTGGAAAAAGTGATTGAATTAGAAAATTGGACAGAGGGGAAAGGCGTTATTGTCCGAGGGGCAAAAAATACTTTCTGTTCAGGATCTGATCTGAATGCAGTGAAAGGACTAGGAACTTCAGAGGCAAGTGAATTATGCATTAGATTCTATGTGTTTATCAGACATCTATGGCTAAGATATTTATATTTTACTTATATGGCTATTATGATGACTTTAATAACTTTCAAAGGATCAGAAGATTTTTTTATTTGTTTTTGGTGGAGTTATAGGGAAAGTATATAGGGGAAACAATAAAAGGGGGAACTATATAGTAGGTGTTATATATAGGGGAAACAAATGATTCTTAAGGTTTTACCAATGGGGTATCTGCAAAGGGCACTTTAGTAAAATGTTTGACATTGCTCTTCTTTGTGGTTTAGCAGTGCACTCTTAAGTTGTTTGGGGTTTTTTGGAGGGGGGGATTCTCTTTCTTTTTCTCTTGCTCTCAATATTGCTCCTGCTGCTTTCCCCAAACCCCCATTTTGTCTCTTTTTTCCCCAGTACTATTGATTCTTTTTTTAAAAACAATTTTTAAAAATTTTAGAATCATTTTAGATTTACAGAAAAGTTACAAACATAGCAGAGTTCCCATATACCTGACATCCAGTTTCCTCTATTCTGTTTTTAATATATTACTATGGTACCTAGATTTATTACAACTAATGAACCAACATTGGTACCTTACTGTTAATGAAATTCCACTGTATGATCTCAGTTATATGTGGAATCTAAAATGGTGAAACTCGAAGAAGCAGAGAGTAGGATGGTAATTGCCAGGGGCTGGGAGAGGGGATGTGAGAATGGAGAGGTGATGTTTAAATGGTTACAAGGTTTCAGTTATGTAGGATAAATAAATTCTGGAGATCTGTACTGCATAGTGCCTATAGCTAACAGTAGTGTAGTGTATACTTAAAATTTTCTAAGAAGGTAGATCTTAGGTTAAGTGGTCTTATTACATATACATACAAAATAATAATAAAAGGAATAGGAGGAAGCTTAGGAAGGTAGTGGATATGTCTATGGCCTTGATGATGATGATGGTTGCATGGGATGGGTTTATATTTATCTAGTATGTGTATCTTTTTACATGTTAATCATGCTTCAATAAAGTGATTTTAAAAAGGGGAAAAGAAACTCCACACTTTGTTTTTCACTAGTTTTTCTATTGGAGTTCTTTTTCTGCTTCAGCATTCCATCCAGGATACTACAGTAAATTCAGTCATCATATCACCTTAGATTCCTCTTATCTGTGACAGTTTCTCAGACTCTCCTTGTTTTTCATGACCTTGACAGTTTTGAAGAGTACAATTCAGGTATTTTATAGAATATTCCGTAGTTGGAATTTGTCTGGCATTTTTCTCATATTAGACTAGGTTATGAGTTTCTAAGAGGAAGACTAGAGGTAAGGTGCAATTTTCATCACATATCAAGGGAACATACTGTCAATATGACTTGTTTACTATTCATGTTAACCTTGGTCACATGGCCAACGTAGTGTTTGCCTGGTTTCTCTACCTTAAAGTTATTTTCTATATTCTCCTCTTTGGAAAGAAGACACTAAATTTAGTCCATGCTCAAGTGGGGAGAGAGAATAAGTTCCTTCTCCTGGAGAGGGGACATATCTATGTCAATTATTTGAGTTTTTTCTGTAAGGAAGATTTTTGTCTTTCCCCCCATTTATTCATTTCTTTATTTATATCAGTGTGTGTTCATGAATATTTATTTTGCATGCATTATTCATTTTGTTGCTCAAATTGTTCCAGCTTTGGAGTCCTTTCAGGATAGTTCCTGTCTCCCTTTGACACTTACCTATCCTTTTAGTTTTTTTAATACTCCCTTACTTTCTGGTACTATCAGATACTCCAGGTTAACCTTGTATTTTCCCTGCTCTAATTCTAGAATCAGTGATTTCTCCAGGGAGTTCCGGTAGGGGAAAATGGTATAGACTTGTGTTAGAAACCGAGATCTGGGGCTTGGGTGTCTGTCTCTCTCTTTCACCTACATTGATAGAACAAATTCCTGGATTAGTTGTGCCTACCCATAACTATAACAGGATAAAGAAAGCTCTGAATTCAGAGTTGAGAAGTCTTGGGTTAGACACAAATCTGCCACTTAACAAAAAGAAAGATACACGACCTTCCTTTTGGCCTTAGCTACATGGGGTTGATAAAAACTATTTCACAGTTAGCTAATGTATACTAAATGTGTTTTGTAAACTAGGAAGAGCTACTGTGAGATTTCAAATACTAATATTAATTGGTATTATTAAGATGATAGATTGAATTCAAGATTATCACCTTTCCTTTAGAAGTTGTGAAGTAAATACTTCTTTTGTTTGATTTGCTTCTTAAAGATTTGGTTGCAATAATGGGAAGGACTGACAAAAAAGGAAGATGAAGGATAAATAATGAACATTATTAACATCAGGTCATTATTAACATCAGCAATAATTTGAATTCCTTTAAATGGAAATCCCTTAGCATCTCTTGAGAAGAAATTTTACATGAAGTATGTATATAAAACACTAAGCATAGTTCTGAAACATAGAACCTTCACCAAATAGTAACAATTTTATAAGTGTGCTTTTGAATTACCCTGATGGAATAGGAATAGGAATCCTAATCATCTTTCATTATCAGCATTATCAATCCTCCAAGGAACTTATAGTTCTTGAATTCAGTCCCCTGCTTCACAACATCTAGGTAAAAAAAAGAACGAAGGAAGGAAATGACAGTAGAAAAGATAAAAAAGCAAGTAGCATTTGTTGCCATTTAATTATAGATATGAGCTGTAGGTAGATTATCAAGCTTTCATGGTATTCCACAAATCTCCTACCACTGTTTGTAGTATGTGATTTTTGTTTGCATTGAATATGTGAAGAAAAATCTCTTGGTAAATAGAGCACTAACTTAGGTAGATTTAGGTTTGAATGCTAGTTTCAACACATTTTGGCTAAGTGGTTGGGCAAATCTTTCTGTGTTATTTTCCTAATCCATAAATGAAGATTATAATATTCATAGATATTTCATGGAACTATTATGAGGATTCAAGATAATATATGTACAGTGGCTACTAACAGCTTGTCTGAAAAAGATAGCTATTATTTTTATTTCAGATATCTTGAGAAATATACATTATTATCCATGAGATGATGCATAATTTATAGCACTACTACTAGACTTTTAATTTGTAATATATCCAAATGGTTAGAGCACTAAGCTGGAAATTTAAAGATATGGATTTTTTCCTCCCCAAATCTCATAGTTAGCCATGTGACCTGTAAGTCATTTGATTATACACATTGAGTATCCCTTATCTACAAAGTTTGGGACCAGGGTGCTTCAGATTTTGGATTTTTTAGATTTTGGAATATTTGCATATACATAATGAGATATATTGGGAATGAGACCGAAGTCCAAACACGAAATTCATTTATGTTTCATATATACATTATACACATAGCCTGAAGATAATTTTAGACAATATTTTTAATAGTTTTGTGCATGAAACCATCTTTGTACATGAGGTGAGGTGTGTTATTTTCTACTTGTTATATCAGGTTCAACTCAAAAAGTTTTGGATTTTGGAGCATTTCAAATTTTGAATTTTTGTATTAGGGATGCTCAACCTGTATATATATTTTTTTCACTTCTAGCATGACTGTATTACTATGCACTAAGTTCATGAAAGATGTTACAACAATAGAATGAGATAAAGATTGTTGTGGGTCTGATATAAGTTGAGTAGGAAAACATCTCTAGAAAGATGAATGGATATTTTATTTTGCTGTTTTCTTCTAGATAGAAGGTAGGTTTTTGTCTCTTATATCATGTGTCTAGGATTCATTTCTTATATATGTGAAAGCTACAAGTGGAAACATACTGATTGTTTCATATATACATTATTAGTGTGCTTTGAGTCACATAGGAAAACACATAGAGTTTTTATTCAGACTTCAAATAAGGGATCACTTAGAAAAGTTTATTAAACTGACTAGTACAGACATTCTCCAAGTAATCTCTCTTCAAATGCCTACCGTAAATCTTTTGATTGACAGCTGAGAACTAGGGTGGTGTGGCCTTAATGCTATGAATACCACTGCAGGTGTCTATTACTTGTTTCTATATATATATATAGCAACCCATCTATATATAGATGCCCATCTCATCAATATACCTGCCCATCTCATCAAGGAAAATCTGGAATTGGGAGTCTGCTTTACAATGAGTATACTTAGAACCCAGATTGGAATTGAAATACTTTATTTAAAGCATTTTCCAGCATAGATGAATACTTTATTATACTTTTATGAAATCTTGATAGTCAGTGTAGGAAATACATAGTATAAAAATAAGCAATTTGAGTAAAATTCTCTTTATGGATAATATTAAGAAATAGTAATATGTTAAAGTATGGAGTATGTTTATCACATGATGATTTTAAAATTAATAAAAACTAGAAATAGTATATGTAACATTCTTGGTAACTCACTCCCTTTATTCAAGTCTCACGGGCCTTGCCGCTGTTCCTCTGCTACTCCAGGTCCCTGCCTGGAAGGCTTTTGCTCACCTCTCCACACAGATCACTCCTTCACTGGCAACATGTTACCTTCTCAGTGAAGCCTGCCCTGACCACCCTATCTCAAATTATAACCTCAACTCCTCCTGGTCCTTCTGTCTCCTTCCCTGTTTTAGTTTTTTCCATAATAATTGATTCTATCTAACATATTGTCTATGTTATGTGTTGTGGGGGAGAAGGAAAACTTCTTTACCCCAGAAGGTTTGCTGAAAGATCAGCTCACAATGAGGCAGATTAATACGAGAAATTAGATTATAAATTTATTTACCATGCACACAGGGAGAATCACAAAGTGATTACCTAATATCCCAATGTGGTCCAGAAGTTTATATACCCTCATTTTAGGGGAGGGGAGATGAGGATTGTAGGTAATTTTCTTGAGTGGCAGTAAATGTTTATGTATATTTAAAGAGGATGAATAAATACTTGGGAGAATGAATAGATGGGGGGGAAACAGACTGACTTGTGAATGATTCTCTTTGTCAATTAAATTAACCTGAGACAAATATTATATTCAAAAGGTCTGGTTGCATTCTTGATCTTCTTTCCTATAATATATTGAGATAATAGGGAAAGGAAGGGAAGTTGATTTCTTTTTGATGGGTCTTATCTGGATTATGTAGGTAGAGGGAAAGTTCCTTCTAAGGCCTGTTAATCTCTAAGGGTCTTTAATTCAAAATACTCTTTCTTCCAAGGAGTCATATTCTGGGGTGAAATATCCTGAGCTCCTTCATTCAGAAGCAAAGCTATTGAATTATAATAATTTAGTCTTCAGTAACATAGGTCTGACCCAGTGCAGCGGCAGTGAGAATATAAAAAGAACGAATGCATTAATATGTTGGAAATATTTTAAAGGAAGAACTAAGGGGGGAATTATTTGGTAGTTCATTGAGGGTGGGAAAATTGTGAAATGAAAGAGTCAAAATTAGTACCAAAATTATGAGCTTTGTTGACCACTAGCTCAGACCTCTTACACTAACTTTTTCCACTGACACAGGCCTCTTATATTTATGTAATCTTTTTATAGAAAGTGTCTAGGTACATTTTCATCTTTCCAGCCACCCTTTAAGTCAAATAGAACAAATACTATTTTTATTTCTCATTCCTTATGGATGAGGAGATTGAAATTCATAGTTATAACTTGCTCAAGTTCATGTTGTTATTAAGTGATAGCACTAAGATTCAAACTGACTCTTTTGCTCCTTGTTGGCTTTGCCACACTGAGTTTGAGGTGTTGGCAGGATGTGAAAATGTCTAGTAAGTTTTAGCACTTCACAAGAATTCATTAGTTAAAGCAATGGGACTGTATGAGACTTCCAAAAAAGAAATTGTAAATAAAGAAGATAAAGAAACTCATGGGTTGGATGTTTGGGAATACATGCATTTAGGGGTTTAGCTGAATAAAAAGAGCCAAGGAAGAAAACTGGAAATTAACAATCAAAGAAATGGGAAGAGAATCAGGAGTGTATAGCGTTGCTTGAAACTAAGAGTATCAGAATGAAGAAACTACCCAAAGGAAAGGTACCACATGTTATGCAGTGAGAGAAGAAGAACAGAAATAAGGAAAAGTCATTTAATTTGACAAATATACAATTATTAGAAACTTTTGAGGAGAGTCTTTTGGGAGAAAGCTGAAGGCCAGATTACATGGCTTGAAGAAAGTGTGTGAGATAGAAAAAAAGAGGTAATGAGTTTGGACTACAATTAAGAAATTTTTTTTTTTTTTTGAGACAGAGTCTCACTTTGTTGCCCAGGCTAGAGTGAGTGCCGTGGCGTCAGCCTAGCTCACAGCAACCTCAAACTCCTGGGCTCGAGTGATCCTTCTGCCTCAGCCTCCCGGGTAGCTGGGACTACAGGCATGGCCACTATGCCGGCTAATTTTTTTTTATATATATATATCAGTTGGCCAATTAATTTCTTTCTGTTTATAGTAGAGACGGGGTCTCGCTCTTGCTCAGGCTGGTTTGAACTGACCTCGAGCAATCCGCCCGCCTCGGCTCCCAAGAGCTAGGATTACAGGCGTGAGCCACAGCGCCGGCCTTTTTTTTTTTTTAAAGCTTCAAGGTTCAACAGAATGTGGATATATTGAACTTCCAAAAAGGACAGTGTTTAGAAAGGGCAAAACAGACAACATAAGACTGGGAATTCCAAGACCCAAAGCGCTTCCTGCTCCAGGAAATAACCATTCATGTGTTTATTAGAGTTCACACTATTTTCCCCCTATAAGCTGGTGCAAAATGATTCATCACCTCCCAAAAGCTTCTTTTCAAACCACGATTTTCCCATTTATTTTGGTCCCAAGCAGTCTATTCTTTAGCAGCCTGTAACTCACTCCCAACCTCCCCCTGGGGGTAAAAATGAAGGAATTCCCCTAGGCTGGCCCAATAACTCAGAATTAAATAAGAGGAGGGGCTAGCAGCCTCCTGGAGACTAAAACAATTTGAGAGGCTAAATCTGCTGGGTTCACGGGGTAACCGCACTGCACTGATATTTAATCCTCTAAAGAATTCCTTAATCGATTCTTCTGTCACATCATAGGGCAGGTTCCCTAGAAAGCAGTGTAGGGTGGCGATTTGGGAAGACGGCTCCGGTCGATATTGGGTTCCCGAGCACCCGTGGAGCAGTGGAAGGATGGAACGGTAAATGGGAGGTGCCCTATACACATCATCATCATTACTGTGCCAAGTGGTTGAAACATCTCCTTCCAGGTCATCTGTTTCATCAGCCCAGCTGACTGGTTTGGGGACATAGGTGCTTCCTCCACCAGTCCCCCAATCCTCAGCCAGAAAGTCTGTCAGGGAGATAGTCTTCCCCTTCTTATTCTTCTTTTTTGCTGAGGCCGCCATGTTGGGAGAGGGAGAGAGAACGCAAAGGCTACAATTAAGAAATTTTTTAAAGAAAATTATAATTTGTGGAAATACCAAGATAAAAGTCTTAGAAGTACAAAAAAAAATCAAAGTTTAACATTCATTACTTTTCCCTTCTTCCCCTTCTTCTTTTATATGTTTATCTTCTCAGGGATAATAGGCAGGTGTATCTTACGCCTTTCCCCTCACATCACTCTGTGTAGAACTCCATACTGTTATGGGGTATGTGACCTGACTCTCATGCCTACATCCTTGATAATACCTCATTTAAATCTGAGTTCAAGGAGCCCTAGAATATCAGCAAAGTCAAACACAGCACCATTGACATTACAGACAACATCAAAGAGTTTGAAATGGAAACCTCATTTTTAAAAAAGTTAGATATATTTTTGGTTTTATTACTTTCTAAAATCTGAGTTAAAAATTTTTTTTCTTACATATTTACATTATACCTTAGTGTTTATGCTTATTTTTATTTAAAGGATGGAGTGGCCTTATGTATGTTCATGCAGAATACCTTAACAAGATTTATGAGGTAATGTATCTTTCTTTTTAAAATATAATTTCTGAAACACCCAAAATATCTTATTATTCCATTCTTTACACCAGTTAAAAAATATAATACCTCATTTTCAGATTATATTTATTCTAATGACAAACTATTTCTTTGTGCCAGAGAGGACAGACATTTAATTATATGTTAGTGAAGTATACAGAAGTATTTTAAAAATAAGAGAAATGAGGAATAAAAAGAATTTAAGATATAGCCCTTTCCCTAAAGAGCATATATAACTAGCTATATTAAGGAATAGACATGGGGAAAGTTAAATACTGATAATACAGCAAAATAAAGACACTGATCAAGAGATGACACTCAAAGATTACCTAATTTTCAAAATTAGTAGACTATGTAGTGAAGTGGTTTGTATCCATAGGAGAGAGAAAAAGAACTATGTTTTGGAGAGGGCTTTTACAGCTTTCTGAGGAAGATGGATTCACTTTGTACCTAGATGAAGAAAGAAAAGGGAAAAAATTCTTCTTTGTTTATCTTTATATGTTTGGGGTTACAAACTGTGACATGTTGTGGCTCATTAGTTTTCTATTTTCACATTCTGAATATAGACAATTTTGAAATATGAAAACTAATATTCATATTTATTTAAGCATAGTTATTGGTCATCATTGTATTTTGGGTACTATATCTGAGAGTTGAGAAAGAGTTACATTTAAGAGAATCATACCATTATTATTCTAAAATACTATTTTTATTGTCTTACTGTTTGTTAACCTCCCTTCCCCTATTATATTTGACTTTTTCTTGGATAAATCTGAGAAGTTATTCTTTTTAAAATAATCCTTTCTACTTGGGAGCAATGCATGGTTGAGAAATTTTCAATTACTTTAGACTTGCAGGTTTGCATTCTGGTTAGAACCTACAAAAAATTTCATACATTAAAACATTTTAGATTTACCTTATAGTATTCAGAACCACTGCAAAGTGGTTCTTTGCAAACAGGAATGGTAAGAGATTTATTTTTACTATCAAATCATCCCTTCATATAAGATTAGTCTTTGGGTTACTTCAGGCAGTAATGAGAAGATTTTTAATAGAAACCTTCAGAACACACTTTTGGGGCTCTGTCTTCTGTACCACATTTCCTTCCTTTGGATAGAGCCTTAATTTTCTCACCTTTAACCTGATATCAATAAAAATGGACTAAAACAACAGCACATTGAATTAGTCCCAATTGCCAGCTGCTGAGAAGTTCCAGGAGTTGTATATTATCCAAAAGCACCTATTTGGAAGAAAGTCACAATATGTCTATATTTTAAAAATAATATAGTGATTTAGGGAGGTATTTTGATAAACTTACATGGCATTTAGTATGAATTATTATATCTTTAGTATTATACTATTCTTCCTCTCATGGTATACAGGTTCAAGGTTCTACTATCCCTTAATGTATGTTTGTTATTATAAAGACAATGTTTGTTACTATAAAGACAATGAAATACTTTTGTTTTATAAATTTTAAGATATTTTTAAAAGTAACATTTGTAAGTAAATATTGAAATTAAAAATGTTAACATCAATTTTTCCTTAAATATACAGACTTCCTTTAATAAGTGTTGCACTGGTTCAAGGTTGGGCATTGGGTGGAGGAGCAGAACTTACTACAGCATGTGATTTCAGGTAGGATGAAAATATTTTATATATTTCTTAAAGAGGATACTAAATTAGTGAATATTTTCCTTTTGTCATTAAAGTAGATAATTTTAATTTAGTATAACTCTACTATTACTTTATTACTATACATTTCAAAAAATTAATAAAACATAATAATTCTGAATAAATCACATCCATTATTAGCAAAACTCCTGGTGAGGAAAGCTAAGGAAATATATGAAACTTTAAAATCCTAAAGAATTATCCAAAGAAAAGTAAACAACTGAAAAAAAAAAAGGAAGATAGAATGATGGGGATTGCTATAGCTGTCCTCTCTCAAATTAAAAAGGATTTCTGAGATCCATTTCTTATCTTCATTCATACTCTGATTTACAGTACTTTGTGAGGTTTTGGGTAGACTAGGGTATCAAGTTAGAGAAAGTTATTTGGGACCAGCATCTCTTCAGTCCCTGGAATTGTTTTTAGTATTTGATGGCTATCCTATATATGAATGACGTTTTGTAGAATCTTATGCTTTCCATACTCTTTAAACTGCTTTCTCAGTGCCATTCCCAAGACATGCAAGCACAGCTATAAGGAGATCAATACAATTGCTCTGTAACCTGTACAGGGTCACACACTTGAGCCTCTTTATAATGCAAAAGGTAATATATATGGCATAATTGGAGATAAAATGGCAAACAGTAAAGAGCCTGAGGACTGGAGTTAATTAGGTTCAATCCCAGCTTGACACTTTTATCTGTTTAACTTTGTGCAAGTAACTATTTCACCTCTCTGTTTCTTTATTTATAAAATGGAAGTATCTGTGTTAAATATGTTTAGCTATATTTAAGAGAGCTAGTGAATATATAGATTTTAGCATAAATTTAACCTAACGAATACATTAATGTACACATAATATTATTGTTTAGAGTCTTAAGATTACTTTATACTGCTCTCTTTTACAGAAATGCCAATCAGGTAACTTTCTGGCATACTTTTAAACACATTTTCTTTTCATTTGGAAAGTTTTCAACCTTAGGAGTAACCCTGGCCTTCCCTACTTTTTTCTGTTCATTATACACTTGATCCTGGCTAAGAAAAATGTTGAAGCATTTATTAAGAGGAGATTTCCAGCAAACTTTTGACTCTCACTTTCAGACACTAAAGAGAGAACCATTCTGTTCTAGTATGTAGTGCTCTGGATATATCAAAGCATCGTGTTGTACAACATTTTAACAATTTCTAAAATTAAATTTATTGAAGTACAGATTATATATAATAAAATGCACCCAATTTAACTGTGTGGTGTAAATGAATTTTGGTGAATATACACACCTATGTAGTCACCTCTACAATCAAGATTTAGAACATTGTATCACTCTTATATGTTTGCCTATACCCTTCCCAGTCAGTTCCCACTCCTAGTCCAAGGCAAACACATTACTTTCTCACTTTAAAGTAGATTTTTTTTTTAGAATTTTATATAAATACACTTACACAGTATGTACTTTTTAATGTCTAGCTTCTTTCATTCAGTGTAATTATGTTGAGAATCATGTATGTTGTATTATGTATCAATACTTCATTCTTTTTTTTTTTTTTTTTTTTTGAGACAGAGTCTCACTTTGTTGCCTAGGCTAGAGTGAGTGCCGTGGCGTCAGCCTGGCTCACAGCAACCTCAATCTCCGGGGCTCAGTGATCCTACTGCCTCAGCCTCCCGAGTAGCTGGGACTACAGGCATGCGCCACCATGCCCGGCTAATTTTTTGTATATATATTTTTAGTTGGTCAATTAATTTATTTCTATTTTTGGTAGAGACGGGGTCTCGCTCAGGCTGGTTTCGAACTCCTGACCTTGAGCAATCCGCCCGCCTCGGCCTCCCAAAGTGCTAGGATTACAGGAGTGAGCCACCACCACGCCCGGCCAATACTTCATTCTTTTTTAACAGTGGAAAGTATTTCATTGTGTGGACACTGCCCCTGCCCCCCCACCCCGTCCCCCCCTCGTTTTTTGAGATCCATCTGTGTTTTTGCGTGGATCAGTGGTTGGTTTATTCCATGGCTTAGTAGTATTCCTTTCTATGCCTATATAGCACAGTAGGTATCATGCATTGATGGACACATGAGTTGTTTCTAGTTTGGAGCTACTATAAATAAAGCTGTTGTGAATATTCATGTAGAAGTAGAGCAGAAATTTGTAATTTTTAAAATGTTTTCAACTTCTCATTTTGAAATAATTATGTATTTTTGAAAAACATACAAAAATTATACAGATAATTTCAGTATACCTTTCACTCAGCTTCCCCAGATATTAATATCATATATAGCCACAGTACAATTACAAAACCAGGAAATTAACATTGATATAATACTTTTAACTAATCTACAGGCCTCATTCAAATTTTTTAAATTATAATACTAATGATCTTTTCCTGATCCAGTATCCAATCAAGAATCTATTTTGTCTAATATAAATATAACCATCCCAGCTTTATTGTGGTTAATATTTCTATAGTATTTCTTTTTCTGTCCTTTCATTTTGACCCGTCATACTGTATTGTTCAAAGTATATTCTAGTAGACAACATATATTAGGGTCTTGCTTTTCTATCAAGAGTGACAATCTCTGCCTCTTTGTCTTTTAATTGGAATATTTGCTCCATGTATATATTCAGTGTTGTTACTGACATGATTGGGTTTAAATTTACCATCTTGGTACAGCCATACCTCAGTGATATTGCAGGTTTGGTTCTAAACCACTACAATAAAGTGAATGTCACAATAAAGCAAGTTACACACATTTTTTGGTTTCCCAGTGCATATAAAAGTTATGTTTACACTATATTGTAGTCTATTAGTTGTACAGTAGGATAATGTCTAAAAAATGATGTATATACTTTAATTAAAAATAGTTTATTGCTGAAAAATGCTAATAATCATTTGAGCCTTCATTGAGTTGTAATCTTTTGGTTTGTGGAGGATTGTTCCTCAATATTGATGACTGCTGACTGATCAGGACAGGATGGTGGTTGCAGAAGGTTGAAGTGACTGTGGCAATTTCTTAAAATAAGACAACAGTGAGGTTCGCCACATTCTTTGACTTCCTTTCATGAATGATTTCTAGCATGTGTTGCTATTTGATAGCATTTTACCCACAATAGAACTTCTTTCAGAATGGGTGTCAATCCTCTCAAGTCCTGCCACTATTTTATCAACTAAGTTTATAAAATATTTTAAATCCTTTGTTGTCATTTCAATAATGTTCATAACATCTTTACCAGGAGTATATTCCTTCTCAAAAACCACTGTCTTTGCTCATCTATAAAAAGCAACTCATCTGTTCAGTTTTTATCATGAGATTGCAGCAATTAGGCCAAATCTTCAGGTTCCACGTTGAATTCTAGTTATCTTGTTATTTCCACCACCTCTCAGTGACTTCTTCCACTGCAGTCTTAAACCCCTCAATGTCATCCATGAGGGCTGGAGTCAACTTCTTTCAAATTCTTGTTAATGTTGATATTTTGACCTCTTACAATGAATCACAAATGTTCTTAATGGCATCTAGAATGGTGAATCCTTTCCAGAAGGTTTTCAATTTACTTTGCCTAGATCCACCAGAGGAATCATTATCTATAGCAGCTATGGCCTTATAAAATGTATAAGACTTTAAAGTCAGAATTACTCCTTGATTAATGGGCTGCAGAATAGATGTTGTGTTAGCAGGCATGAAAGGAACATGAATCTCCTTGTCATCAGAGTTCTTCATTGACTAGCTTATTGTCAACAGCAACAGTTTTTTGAGATAATTTTTTTCTTTTTTTCTGAGTGGTAGGTCTCAAAAGTGGTCTTGAAATATTCAGTAAACCATGCTATAAACAGATGTGCTGTCATTGAGGCTTTTTTATTCCATTTATAGAGCACAGGCAGAATAAATTTAGCATAATTCTAAAGTGCCCTCCCTAGTATTTTCAGAATGGTAGATGAGCACTGGCTTAAAGTCATCAGCTGCATTAGCCCCTAACAAGAGAGTCAACCTTCAAAGCTTCGAAGCCAGGTATTAGGTTCTCTTCTCTAGCTATCAACGTTCTAGATGGCCTCTCCTTCCAATAAAAGGCTGTTTCATCTATACTGAAAATCTGTTGTTTAGTGTAGCCACCTTCATCAGTTATTCTAGCTAGATCTTCTAGTTAACTTGCTGTAGCTTCTATGTTGCTGTTTCACTTTGCACCTTTGGGTTATGGAGAGGGCTTCTTTTATTAAACCTCATGAACTAACCTCTGCTAGCTTCAAACTTCTGCCGTTTCTTCACCTCTCTTAGCTTCAGAGAATTGAAGAGAATTAGGGCCATGCTCTGGATTAGGCTTTGGCTTAAGATAATGTTGTGGCTGGTCTGATCCAGACAACTAAAACTTTCTCCTTATTAGTAATAAGGCTGTTTTGCTTTCTTATCATTTGAATGTTCACTGGCGTGACACTTTCCTTTTTTTCCAGACAGAGTCTCACTCTTGTCACCCAGGCTGGAGTGCAGTGGCCTTATAGCTCACAGCAACTCAAACTCCTGGGCTCAAGCAATCCTCCTGCCTCAACCTCCCTAGTAGCTGAGACTACAGGTGGGCCACCATGCCCAACTAATTTTTTTTCTATTTTTTGTAGAGATGGGGTTTCATTCTTGCTCAGGCTGGTGTCAAGCTTCTGGCCTCAGGCAGTGCTCTCACCTTGGCCTCTCAGACTGCAAGGATTACAGGCATGAACCACCATGCCCAGCCTAGAGCAGCACTTTTAATTTTCATCAAAAGAACTTTTCCTTTGCATTCACAACTTGACTATTTGGCATAAGAGGCCTACCTTTGGTCTAGCTCAGCTTTTAACACACCTTCCTTACTACATTTTAATCACTTCTAGCTTTTGATTCAAAGTGAGAGACCTGTGACTTCTTTTCACTTGAACACTTAAAGGCCATTGTAGGGTTATTAATTGACCTAATTTCAATATTGTTGTGTCTCAGGGAATAAGAAGGCCTGAGGAG